AAATATTATATACAGTATAAATTTTATATTATTTATTATAAGATGCAATTCTATGTTACTTATTGTATTGTAGGATTTACAACAAATTATATCTCAGGAACAAGACAAATTTTTGGAATTTGCAAAAAGCAAGTGGCATGAAAGATCACTTAAAATTACATGTGAAGATTACATAAATATATGTTGGCAATCAAAATTACAATATATTCATAAGTTACCTAGATATTGTGCTGAAGTAACAAATGTTCCATTTATAGCAGATAAAAATATTGAAATAAAATTTATTTCTGTCTGTTTACAAATGGTGAATAATAAAAGTATTAAGTACTTATAAATGAAGGAAATATATATGATGTTTCATACATGTGGGTAAAGTCTGTTTTTGTCTTTCCAGTCCTCTGCAAAAATAGATTACATATGTTATGAAACATCTTGTATAAGTACATGTAATTAATCCAGAATTTCTTCTTGTATAGGGTGAATTACCTGAAATAGTATTGCCAACTCTTACCAGACCATATATGCTACATGTAAATTCAGAACAGTTACAAAAAAGATTTCCTCCTAAAAGAAATATTCTCAATGAGTCATCAATTTCTTATAAACTATCTGTAAGTGAAGATCCAAATTGTCAAAAATTGGCTGAAAGTAATAATGTGGATTTAGTAATTTCATCAAGTGGTCTTAATTGTTTAGTAAATAACATTGAACCAAGTTATTCAAATTCGTGGATTTTACCCTTAGTTATAAAAAGGCATAATGGTAAAAATGTTATCTATATAGATAAACCAGCACCACCAACAGAAAGTACTATACAAGAAAAGAACTCCTGGGTATATAAATACATACTTAAATATTTCCTTCTTGGTGCCAAACACCTAAATTCAACAAGGTAAGGTCTATTATTTGCAGATGTTCTTTTTCAAATTCTATTTCTCTATTTATTAATATTATAATTGACATATTTGACTATATAATATTAGTATTGAAGGAAATCAGGATAATATATTTGATGATGTTAATTCTGAAGTACTATTAAAATTAGAAGAAGAATATGAAAATAGTTTGACAGAAACTAAAAATGAATCAAATATGTTAGAAAAAGGTAGACATATTAAAGAAACTTCAAAAGAGTTTTCCAATACTACTAGTGATCAAGGTAACTGTTCCGTTGAGGTATTCATTGATATATTCATGAAATTATTTAAGTTAGTAAAAAATATTAATTGTTGAACTAATTTCTTATTAAAAGCTTTCACTCTGCTTACACATATTAGTAATCATTTTTATGAATTAATAGGTGCAGTAAATAAGAATTCTGAAATGGCAGAAAATAATGTATCATACAAATTATTCACTATTGGTCCACAGTTTTCAGAACAGAATGAATTGATGAAAAATGTAATTAAGGAATACAAATTATTAATTCGAACAAAAACAGATGGATTTGAGGTTTGTATATATTATGTAACATTTTATTTGTTTTAAATTAACAAGTTTCATAAAAAGCAATGTTTAGGAATGTAATAAACAAATAAAATAAAATTTTCTATTTACTTTATTTTCTAGATTTTACAAAACAAAGTACAGAGATTGTTATTCTTAGCACCGAAATTAGAATATCAAGTCGATCTCGGTGCTGAAGTAGTAACATTAGAAGAATCATTGAAACAATGGATATCGTTAATATGCAGGCCACACACGTTTCTTGCACGAAGTAAATAATCCATAATTAATAAGACTGTGGTGTATTAATAATGAAATACATATACCTGAAAGTTGAATTTAATGATAAGCTTCTATATATTTCGAGTTATAATCATGTATACTTTCAGTTCGAATATCTGCAGAAACGTCAGAAATATTACAAATAGAACATCGTACAGCAATTTCTATAAACAACGAAATTAAAAGGCTTTATAACATGAAAGTTGAAGATTCTTTGACAATTTTGCATAATGTTGTTCAGTCTCTTGGAAATTTATCTCCAGGACGTTATATTATGAGACATACAGTAAGAAATGGGGCATTTGCTACAATTTATAAAGAAGTAGAGAGTCCAGGGTAAGTGACTTAAAAAATATATATTTATTAGAATCTTTTAATTCAGAATAAATATTAATGTTATTCTAAAACATTTAATATTTACTTACAGAAAGAACATCTTTGACATGTCTACAATCTATGGTAAACAATTTCATAGTTTACTTAATCCTTCTTGGATTCCATTAGACAAAACAATACCAAGCCCAATGTTTAAACGTCTTGAAAGAATGCCAGCTATGTTTTACCCATCAAATAATAAAAAATTTTCCAAAAATAAGAGGTGCTTAACAGGAAACAAATCTAACATGGGTATATAGTTCTATACTATGATTTTTTATTTTACATAGGCAAGGGTTATAACCACGTAATTTTAATTAACATTATTAATTTCTTTTTTTTTAGGGACGGTACGTAGAAGTTTAAGAAATAAAAAGAAAACGTGATTGATAATCCAAAAGTAAGTTATTCATTTTATTTAAACATAATTCTTGTTAAAGTCATCCAAAATAAATATGTCTAAATATAATTTTGTTTTGTAAATATTTGTAAAATGTACTTCCATTAAATTCATTGGTAATCCAATTAGGAAGAATGTTATGTACATCAGTATTCATTACTATACAAATTTTGAAAAGAGTAAGGAGAATCATACATAGGATATACTTACTTTCAAATTTATTTATCTATAAAACAGG